AAATTATTTTTTATTTAATTTCAATAGAAAGAGTTCAATTGAAATCGAGAAGCTAAGATTTTGCTATTACAATAGTATCTTATTATTTATTTATTTATTTATTTATTTATTTATTTATTTATTTATTTAGTTATTAAGAAGCAAATAAGAAAAAGGGGAAATAATGCACAATCCATATACAAAATTTTTTTTTTACCATGGACAATAAATGTAAATTTTATATCTATTCACATGAATTTGCTTTACATACAAATTAATGAATCGTTACGAAATGTAATACAAATAAAAGAATTTCGGTATTTCGTAAGTATTTGAATTAAAAATACTGATATTGAAACAACAGAAAAAGTAAATTTGAAGGCTTGTAAATTTGTTGATTTTATAATATAAAGATTTAAATATCGCTGTATGCAATTGGTATTTTTTAGATTTTAAACATTGAATAATGAAAAATATATGTAAGAAAATTGAAAATAATATAATATTCATTCTAACGAAAACTATTTCTCTTTATAATACGCCAAATCTCTTCAACAAATATATTCCGATATTTCCTCATGAATAATATTGATATATTAACATTTCATTATTTTTATCATTAAATTATCAATGATTTATTTATATAAATTCAACCATTCGAGTATTAATTAGCACTTACACTTTATTTGGATAGTATTTCAGCGAAAGACACGAACCGAAAATCATTAAAAACTATTTAAAAACTTATCATAATTTAATATTGTCAACATTTTTTTTTAAACCAATTCAACAATATATTTCCAATAAAAATATTATATAAAATTGTAAGCTATATCAAAGCAAATTACAATTTTATGCATTAAAAGATTAGACATTAAAATAACTCGCGTATTTGGTCTCGAAATAATATTCTTAGAATTAAATTTATACCTAATCAATTTATCTCCGCTAACTGAATATAGATAGTAGGCAAAGAAATAAAAGCGCTGATAAGTAGGGAAGTAATTTAGTTTTTCAAAGGCATTGGAATATTTTGAAAATTAATTTTTTCTCCTCAATTTAGTGCAAAAACCATAGAAATGATTGTAAAATAACAAAAAAAAAAAAAAAAAAAAAAAAAAAAAAAAAACAACATTAATAAGTAAAATTACCGTTACTTTTCAATTAATGTGTATTATTAATTATACCAAAAAAGAACTTTTATTCTAAAAAAAAAAGTCTTATAGACGTGACTGATACGTCCATTATATATATAAAGAAAAAAAAAAAAAAAAAAAAAAAAAAAAAAATCCTTGTAAGGAATTGTAGCTCATTTGTGCTTAATTGAAATTTAGAATAAGAGTTTAATAATTTCAAGTCGATTATTATCTTAATTTATACTTAAAATATCAGATTTAATATTTAGATAAGCTCTAATCGCTTAAAAAATAATAAACACTGCCAAACTTAAAGCTGATACTTATTAAAAGGCACTTTGGGCATAGAAATTACTACATAAATACAGTCTCTAAATCTATATATTATATACATGCTCAAAATAAGTTGAATCGAAAATATTAATGCATGTGCAATGATTAATTTTGATTATATTTATGTATTAATAATGTACTTGATATTGAATTAAACATAACATATTTATGAAACAATCTTATTTATTTCCAACCATAAAATTTGACGTTTTAGAAGTTACAATAGTCAGTTTAGTTCTCATTTATAACAAAGTTTACAAATGTAAACGTGTTGCTGTAGCAATAAAGAAAGTCTTTAATAATCATTTGTCATGAACGATTCTCAACATAAGTTCATACTGCCCTTAAACAATCTTCACTTTTTCAAAAATTCTTATTATCTACTAATCAGTATGTGATAATGAAAAAAATATCATAGATTATGATTATTGCTATTTACATTGAAGAATTTTTTAACACTATAAGGTTATATCATTTTAATGGAATATTATTTATACACATTCGCAAATTCGTTATATAATTAATATTTGTTTGATATAGTAGAGAAGCAGTGTATTGAAGCTTAAAAGAAAACTAAATGTCCAATTAATTTTTCCTATTTGTCGGTATTTTTCGTTACAGGCTTTCGTTTGAAGTCTACATAAATCGTAATATTGTGAACAATTTCTCAAAGTTTGCTTTAAAGGGAAAATTGTAGCAATAAGTTTATCAATTATAATAATGAATAATGAAATATAAAAATTAATAAACACGAAAATATAACCATCCTTTAGATTTTTTAATCCCTACTTACTTGAGAGCATTTAAACTATTTAATCATCATTTACAATAAATCTTCTAATTAAAACAGAATATAATTCTTTTATTTTCATAGCTTATTTAGTTTTATAGCCTTACGTAAAAATATGCATTTGCCTTATAAAAAAAAAAATGTAATTTTTGCATATATAAAATAAAGATTAATAAAATTAATAAATTAAAGGAGTATATTTTCCTTCGCTAATACTTGACTAATGCTTATTCATCTCATAAAGTATTATACGTTTAAAAATAATTTAAGTATAAGATACTTTACGAAGAGATTATATTTATTGTATTTATCATCTATAATATCTGTTCTCCGATATAAAGAATCTTCGAATTATAATTAAAAAAATGTTAATATATTTATTTTTACTTTTATTCAGATTGCTTATATTATTAGAATTAAATGTATTTAGAAGTATCAGAACAATATATTTATTTCGATTAAATGAACCATTCATTATTATAGAAATTTTATTGGAATAATCAATATAAAAGTTATTTTTATAAATTTTAAGGGATTCGATTGTCCAATAATATATTTTTATATATTATAATTAATATACTATTAATTTGCATTTGAGTAACATTTGCACTCTTAAAAATTAGCAAGAGCACGAATTTTTCATTCAACAACTAATAATTAAGTTAATGTTAATAAACTTATGAAGAGCATATAGCGAATAACGATGGTTTAAACAAAATTGAATTTATGTGTAGATTGATTTTACCGTTGAACTTGGAATTTGCTTTGCCTTTACACAGAATTTGGAGATCGAAATGAAATATCGATGCCAATGAATTGAAAATCACAAGGCACAAACAGTTAGTTGCTCAGTTGCTAAAATAAGTAGGAATTCAATATAAATGCGTTGTATATATCATAGCGCCAAATGAAACAATGAATTATATTGTTAGAATAACTAATGATATTATTATTAAATATTCGAACAATCGAGAATCGATAATGAAAAATGGAATCTGAGTTTTGTAAATGATTTTTGAAAAAAATTAAAAATTCATAAGAATGATTAATAGAATGCACGAATTTTCGAATTAAACGGAACAACATTTTTATGTAAAACATAATATACGATGAAAAATAATTATTCAATTTATTTTATGTACCACGTTCGTTTATATATTGTTTCCATGCACCCAAACTTTTTAGCTAATCGAATATCTTCAATCCGTATTAACCTGAACGGTAAATAAATTCCTTTTCCGATTCTCATATAAAATTATTGATGAAAATTATTAAATTTCCGATATTGACAAAAATACTTGAAATCTCGGTATTAATTATCATTGTCCTAATAAAAATGTAAATTCGTTATTTAAATTTAATTGTTGTAAGGAATATTAAATCATGGCTTACGACTTTCTTTTGCTTGTTTTTTTCCTTTTATTTTCAAATAATATTATGACCAATGAATGGCGTATATAAATGAAAAATGAAAAATAAAATAATCTTTAAAATTAATGCAAATTTTCAAAATCGAATCAATATATATTATAATTATCGGTTCAATTTGAGAATTCAAACATTCGTCATCGTGACATGACTGTTTGTTTTGTGCCAATTCTATTGCAATATTTTCCATACATAACCGGTGTCTGCATACTTTACAATGCAAAATTTATAAACAGCATGGAATGAAATAATGAACGTTTCAATGATGATCTTTTTCCTTTTTTTTTTTTTTTTCATTTATTTCTTTTTCTTCTTTTCGACAATAGAAGGTCTTATACAATACACTAATATAAACCTTTTGTTTGTATTGTTATTTTCTCAGTTATCAGTTACTTTTTCATTAACGTTCTCTTTATTAAATCATAAAAAACACATTGATACTTTGGGCACGCCGGGAGCATTTATACATAGCTTTCTTAAATTTAATTTAAACGTAATTTCAATACTCGCAATAATAGCCAACACTTCTCATTCCGATAAGGCTCGGCGCGCAATTTACATAATTTCTACGAATATTCGCGTATGGACGAACAAGATGACTAGGACAACAACATCACTCCCATTAGCTCACGATTACAAAATTAAAATAACAAGAGAATCGAGCAATCAAAGATGCCTTTAGCATCGAAGGCAATAACAATGAAGGTAACTAGTGCGATTCCCCAGATTTTCCCCTTTTTCCCTTCTGTTCTGACACTGTTCTGACAAGGATCTCTGTCTGCCAAGCAACAACAGCAAGCTTCTTCTTTAAAAATGTGAGCGTGCGACCAGCGAGCAGGACAGGACGATATAAGCGAGCGAGTTGCGCGAAAATTGCCGCGGCAAAGTATCGGAAACATCGTTGGAGTGTCCGCCGCCTGAGCTCATAGCGGCTCCTCTTCTGTGCTTGTGCTGCAGGACGGGGTGGGGTAGGGGTAGGGGTAGGGGCAGGGGTAGGGGCAGGGGTAGGGGCAGGGGGGGGGGGGGGGGGGGGGGGGGGGGGGGGGGGGGGGGGGGGGGGCAATGTAGCGCACCCATGGAAGAAAAGCCACGAGTCCTCCAAGAGCGCGAGAAAACCAGTTGTCTCGCGTTGGCCAAATTTAGCGAGCTGGGCCGCGTTAACCCCACCCCTGCGACTCGTGCGCCCACAGATAAGGACGGTCAAAAAATAATGGCAAAGGAAAAAAAGAGACGATTGCGGGGGCGGTGACGATGGGGAGAGAGGGGAGGTGAGGGAGGCGTGTGACGATAGAAGAGCGGCGAACGGCCTCCGAGGGAGTACTCTTCTGACTTACGGGAGGACTTACGCTTCTGCGTAGGCTGCTGTAGCTCCTGGTCTGGCCTAGGCAGGGCGAGCCGGCTTTGCTACCGACGACGAGCCTCCCCGTGGTAATGACGACCCGGCAGCAGGATGAGGCGCCTGCCATCGCACACGTGCACCCACGCCCTCCCCTGAGCACAACTCCTCGCAACCGCTACTGCCGCCTCAGCTACTGCTGGACACCTCGAGCGAACGACGACGACGACGGCGACGACGACGACGAGAACAGGCTGATGCTGCTCCTCCGCTCTGCCTGTCCGCCACCGGCATCGTATGTACGTGGCCTCCGATCGCGTACCGTCCCGTTGAAGCGCGCGCTACCGAGAGGTTATAGCCACCCGGAGAAAATCCGGAGCGCGTTCACGCCGCGGTCGAGACTGAGCCGCCCGGAGGAGCTGCGCGCTGCCCCCGAACCAAATCGAGTCGAGTCGAGTTCTCCTCCCGCGGCCGCTCGCTCGCCTCCTCCAACAGCTGTGCCATGCGCGCGAGCTCGACGTCCGTTACACCAAGAGATAGAGAGAGAGAGAGAGAGAGAGAGAGAGATAGAGAGAGATAGAGAGAGAGAGAGAGAGAGAGCGTGTAAAAGAGTGGGGGGACGAGGATACGTGACCGACAGACGACAACTTGCCAATGACATTCTGACCGTCACAAGCCGACTGTATCATGGCTGACGACGAGTCCTGTCGACGATCGGGGCCACGCAGTGTCTTTTTTATACCCCTTCCTCGCTTCTAATCATTGGCATTAACATTTCGCGCACGGAACAAGACTCGGATAGAGTCCGCGTGTACTGCTACATTAGGACAGTGAACTCTTGGTGACTGGAAGCGGATTCGATGGCTATTGCTTCCCGCGACTTCGACGCTCACAATGACAATATGCGCGATCGACGGGATAATGCGATTTCGTGATTTCTCCGACGCTTACGAGCTTGCGTTGTAATACCAACAAACGCTGGCAATTAAGCTTGAAATTGAGCCGACGGTGTTGTTGATCCTCGATCGCTTCGTTAGTCCAGACGCGTCCCCGATGAAGGCATACCTTGTGTAAGGAGCGGTCAAGCAGTCTCGAATCAAGGTTGTCGGGGACTCGAAGAAGCTTTACAAAAAAAAAAAAAAAAAAAAAAAAAACTTTACGCCTTACCTTTCTTTTACCGATACTTGATATTACCTTAATTTATTGTTGTACTTTCTTATTTATTCCTTTTTTTTGAATGATAAAAGAACTCGAGTTTGATGAAGGGCAAACGTTCTGTCTCGGGATTTCCGAACTATCGAAACAACTTATTGGGATTAAAGAGAGAGAGAGAGAGAGAGAGAGAGAGAGGAGGTTTAACGGGGCGAGAGAAAAGAAGTAGAAAACTCTTTATTGTTGAAACTTTAAGAAAAGGGAATAAAAGAATATAAGTGAATTGTACGAACGACTCGACACTCTTCGGTTCATTAATCGTATTTTATGTGTCAGCTAATTAACAGTGGTGATGCAATATTTAATGGAAAAAAAAAAGTTGGTATCTGCGGGAACGATTTTAGGTCTACCATCTTTCCAAATAAAGATAATTGTGCAAATCCGTTTTAATGTATGTATTATTGGCTGCACGACACATGAACGACGAATCTGTACCACAATCAAATTATCTGTATAATAATATCTTATAATCTTTATAATAGTAGCAGCAAAATAAAATACAATGTTAAATATTTTTGTTATAATAGGCAGGATAATTGTACTTGTTAACAGATTACTCGAATCTCATCACTTACGATCGGACCGAAGGAAAACAATTATAAAACAAATGTATTCGATACTCGTGAAATGCTACCGGTAACATTAATTATAAATTAATAGGGACGTCACTTGTTGATATAATAAAAATATTACATGACATAGCATATATTCTAAGGAGAAAATTGAGCAAAATAATTAATTCTCGAACCACGAATGTTAATTGAATGATAATAATTTATCAAGCAATTATTTACAAATAATAAATCAAAAGAAATTGAGAGATATTGATGATGTTCGCATAGTTCTTGACAAAATTGAGTAAGGAAAAACTTTTAATAGTTTTAAAAGTTTATAATATTTATAAACGTTTGTATGACATTGTCTAGATTGCGAAAAGCGTTTGAGAATATTTTCATGATTTTTCCGAGCTGTGAAGTGCATTGAAATATTGTCAGTAATATCTTTGTAGCTTTAAATGTATTTTAAATTTAAAATAAAAAGTTTTTACATCCTTTTAAGTCTTAATGTCATAGGAAAAGTTGTAAAAGAATATTTCAGTTTGGAAAATTTTATCTCACTCGCGCAACTTATTAAAAATATCAAAGTATATGACTGAATTAATAGATCAGAAAATGAATAAGTACTTAGGTATTTAAATATGATTTTCTAACGATAACAATATTCGAAAATAATGAGTTCTTGCATTTATATTTTGTAACAATGAAGGAAAGATACTTAAAGTGAGAAATACGATCATTACAGTAATAAATACTGTTTATATAATAAATAAATAAATCTCTCATTTGCGCAAAGAATTTTCTCACTTCGTGGGTAACTTTAATTTTAGAAAATTTGGAATTTGAAAAACAAAAAAAAGCATGCAGTTTTAAATATTCCTTTTACGGGAATAATTCGGAATTCCCATTGATTCATTCGAAAGGTTAATTTCATGGGTTTAGCTAATCATATTGGTGCTCGACTTTTATAATACATTTTAATGATGTTTTACTTCACGGCAAATCATATTATCCAACAAGATTATTATCTTCGTGATTTCCCATTAAAAATACATACTTATTTTCATACTTTTCAATCAATAATGACAAATCAATATATATATATATTTGCATTTACGTTTATTGACAGGGTTGAATATTCATACATACAACGTTTTTTAAATTTGTTGAAATTATTAAAAATTTTAATTTTCAATGTTCAAACAAATTTTCTTGATCAAATCTCATCAGATTAATTCAAGAAAAATTTTCATAAAATATTTTAGACACTGCGTAGAAGCGTTCAATATTTTACTTTCTACACAATTTCTACCAATATAAAACCTTTAAATAGCGGTTATATTAGTTTATAAGGTTTAAAAACGTTAGAAATAATGTTTTCCTTCTCATTTGAAAAACTAGTAGAAAAATATTTTAAAAAATGTGCTATATAGTCTCATTATTTCATAGTTTCATGATTTTCTAATTTTCATATTTGTTAAATAAAATATCATTTAATTGAATAATATAATTTTAGAATGAAATAGAATTTTTTTTTTAAATTTCAATAAATTTATACTAAAGATGACTGTTCGTTTCAACAACTGAAATATTTTATATAAAATTGTTCAAACTTTATTTATAATATGATTGAAAAAAAAATTGAAATGAAATCTTTCAAAATATTTAGGAATAAAAATGATATGATGTTTCATTTCGAACATATTCATAATTTCATCAAAATATGAATTTTAATTGTATAAGTAAATTGTTATTAAACATTAAACCGAGTTTTCAATAATTACTATCTACAATTTAAGCATCAATTAAAGCCTTCGGTAATTATTAGCAATTAAAATTAAATATTTATTTGCTTTCATAATTCTCATTAGATTATAAATCTTCAAACAAAATAAGCAACACTTACATTTGTAAATAAATTTTCGGTAAAAATTAAGACGTGAATTAAAAATCTCGGACTTGATATTACTGTAACATTTTTATTTTTTTTGTAAATATACGGTTTATAATACATGATAATACTACATGATATTGGTACATGTTAACATATTCCATTTCAATTATTTTAAATATTTTAAAATTTAAATATTTTTCGCTCTTGATTAAGAAAATAAAATTTATTCAACGTTTAATTAAATGCCCATAAAATTATATGTATTTAGAATTCAGATTTAGATTCATTAATTTTTCCTTTTTCATTCATAATAATTAATTTTTTTATTATATTTCAGTCATATCGAATTAAATATTGCAATATTAAAATAATAAAGAATTTATTTAAATAACATTTTTTAGTTCTTTGAATAACGAATGTTCTACTTACATAAATTATTATTAAATTATCAGAAGGTCTTATTGAAATTTTACAATATTTTATTTTACATCACATTTATCATGTATAAAGTCATATTATATGTTGTATTTACTGTACATGATTCTTTATATATATATATATATATATATATATATATATATATATATATATATATATATATATATATATATATATATTTAATAACATAATTAGTTTTATGTAAATAGATTCATTTTTCTGCTACTCATGAACCAAATATTATATTTATTTCAATATTCAAAACAATAATTTTATCTTAGGAATTTACTTATTTCAAGTAAAATTACAAGAGATTTTAGGTTAAGTAAGCATTTATTTTTTATTTGTTTGAATACAATTTTTATTTTCTTTTCATTTCAAATAGAAGATGTATAGCTGAAAGTTTAGTAGAAAAGTTATGTAAGCATTAGCTACAAAAGCTTGATAATATTTATCCATCAAGTAGATTCAATTTTGTTTTGATCGATATTTTCTGATAAACCCGATAAAAATTTCTTGCCTGAGAAAATAATTCATCGATAATAATAATTAATACAGATTAAATGCTTTTGCTTTTACAAATCACTTTTTTATTATATAAAAATAATTCGTGATTGCATAAATAAATTTTATTATTACATGAACTATATAATACAAATAATAAAATTTATTAATTGAACGTACTTATTAAATAAATAAAAATTTATAAATTATGTTGTTCCCTGCTTATAATATATTTACAAATAGTTTATTGTTTTTATTATAAAAGTAATTGTGCATGTTATACTTTTTAAAAAAATTATTGAACAAAAGTTACTATTTTGTATTAATTATACTAACAATGTATATTGTATACATAATTAAACTTTATCGCTTAGAAATTTTATCAATTATCATGAATGGAAGATTACAATATAAAATAACAAAATCATGTCATTTGATATGATTGAATAATTGGAACATTAAACATCTATTAAGTAAAAATAAGACTTGATACTTATGACATATTTTAATTCTAGTTAAGTAGTTTTAAAAACAAATTAAATAATATCACATTATATTTACTCCTCTAATTTCTAAAAATTAATAATGTGTATATATATTTTCTCTATTCTAAAACACATTCTATTATCGCATATATATGAAATTAGTTATTGTTTAAGAATATTATTGAGATTATATATTTTGGATTTACTACCAAAATTACATAAAAGTGCAAAAAATACAATGTATAAAAGATATAATATAATAATATAAAAGATTTACTTACAAAATTCTATTAACAAACTTTATATATACAATAGTAATACACAATCTAATTATTGTATATGTCGAATACACATATGAATTCTTAATTGAAATATTACAATAATAATTTATCTGATATAATTAATTTTTTCAAGTTGTACCAATGGCTTTAACTGTTCCGCAAAAATTCTAATATCTTCAGCAATAGCATTTTGACCGCTCGGAGCTAATACACTTAACTCGACGAGATAACTTTGCGACATTGGTTCCATACCATCTGGTAACTTTCCTTGATTCATTTTAAAGATTTTGGATACAGTTACCTTCATTCTGCCTTTTCTAAACATATATCCTCTGATTATATATTCGAAATCTAATCGACAACCTAGTTCCGTGAGAAATTCAACAACTGTATTACTGGTTGCTATATCTAAACTACTACGAACTACAGTCGGTTGAGATTTATCTCCCAATTCTGGCTGCCCAATGTATCTAAGCTGCCAAGGCATGTCTGGATAATCCAAAGCTCGTCTAACCCTTAAAAAGAGTGGTAGTTCTGGTGGAGGGCCTCTTCGAATACTAAAACACATTTCATGATCATGAAATGTTTCTGGCCCAGTATCGACATTGTCACAAAGTCCTCGTAATCTATGAAGAAGCACTTCAACTGCACTGTCAAGTATCGATCCTTGCAGGAAGTATTCCTGATTGGGTATGATTTTAGATTTAAGGGCTGCACTTAAGCTATCCATCGCAGTACCTATTGGAGCAGCCATAATTCCTGAACTATTATGAAAGAAAAGGGAGAGCAGAAAAACAAACGCATTAAAATGTATTAACCTGCACATAGGTTATGTTAATATTATACACAAATATCTAGGAATTAAAATGTACCTTATATTAATTCGTTGTTTACTTCCGTTGTATTATCGTACTTTAATTTACAATTTTTTAATTGTGCGATCAAATACCTCATACAATATATATAAAATCTATGTTAAAGCACGTACGTTTACCTAAGAAACACCGGCGCCATTACACAAACAATTACACGGTAAAATTAATGTCAATATGACGTATTTAAATAAGAAATTTATAATTGGAATTAGCGTCAGACTTCGGTTACAAGACGCTTCGAACGCGTCAATCTAAGTATTAATTACATATTGAATTAATCCTTATTTATTATTTTGCTTATTACGTGATATTACCGGAGAAATTCAAATGCAATACCTCCGTCGAAAAGCCGAAACTAATTTTAAATAAACAAATAAGAAAAGCTGTATTGTATTAAACATAGAATGATATAGCACATATAACTTTATTATCCGGATAAAAGCCTTAGGTCCATTCCAAGAAGTATAGTGCAAAGTAACAATGTACTCTATTTATTCCCACAGGCTGCCCGCAACGATAATATTCCTTCTTCTTTTATCCTTAGTGGAAAACCTGTTAGTTGTCTACATCCTTTTATTTATTGCCCGTCATTAATGATCCTAACATAGAGAGCTAAGCCAGGACTTTTTTGCACTAAATTTTCGCCTATACGATTCAATTGCGATAATTAAATTTATTTTATTTGTCGAATATATTTAGAAAATTAAAATTCATAAGTTTTTCAGAAAATTTAATCACGTAGCTAATTCAAGAGATCATTGCATTGATTAAATTGTGAATTTGATTAAATTATTGATTTTTCAATTATATAAATAAAATGCTAGAAAAATATATTTATTACGCAGAAAATTTATTGTTAAAAAAATGTTGGTTTAAAGGAATCATCGTTATAATTAACAAGGATAGGAAATTTTGAATGATTTCAGTGATTTCAGCCTTGCCTTGAAAAATTCATTATTAATTTCATGATAATTGAAGCTTTGAACATTTATGTAAATGCATTATATTTATTAGAAGCTTATGCATTTACATATAAATATTTCATAAATTATGAATAATTTAATTTTTGATAATTTTTGATTAAAATTCCTTAGCTGCGTATTAAATGTTAAAAAGGACTTGATGTTACAAGATTTTGGGTTACAATAAATACTTAAATCAAGGTTCATACTTGTTATCCTCATAGTTATTATTATTTATATTAACAATGAACTTTGTACATGATTCGTTAATCGGCCAAAGGGCACAATCGACAGTATAAAAAGGAAAACAAATGTACAAACGTATTAACAAAAGAACGGTATTAGATTCTAAATATATGTAACATTTAATTATGGCAATGTAGGTGGCATTACGCGTCCAGAAAGTATTTACGCGCGAGAGGATGAACACGAGATGGACAATCGCAATTGTTTATACATTTCACGCAGCTGCATTTATACCTCATGATATTGCTTACAATATAACAATGTAATGGTGCATTTCACTTAAACACAATAGCTATTGAATTATCGGCGGTGTTTAACTTTGTTCGACTATTTCATTTTCAGTTCAACGAATGTGATTATTATTGTTCGATTATAGTAAAAAAATTATGTATCCATCATTTTATTTAAAATCTGATATGCCTTTAAATCACAAATTATCGACATGGAATACATACGTAATGTCAAACTTAAGTTAACAGTCACCATAAATTAACATGTTATACGTTGAAGAAAAACTTTCAAGTACACTTTATGTAAAAGATCTTATAAATATCGGTAATTATTGCTTTGTACACGTAAAGTTAAATAAAAAATATATACAATTATGTATGTAGAAATCAAATTATAACTATTTACAAATAATTCAATCTTACGAAACGAATATTTGATCTTAAATATGATTTGTATATAGAATCGATTATTTCAAACAAATATAAAAATATAAAAATCCATATAAGCATTATGATAATTTAAAAAATAATATATATATATATATATTAAATAGAATACGTCAGTTTGTCCTAATTATATTACAGTGTGTGTGTGTGTGTGTGTGTGTGTGTGTGTGTGTGTTTTTAACAGAATTATCGGTGACTGTTACATTAAGCACGAAAAAAACATCATATTGCAGTTAAGGTTTCTTTATTTCTAGATAAATGTACTTTATATTTCAAAATAAAGTAACTTATAAATTCGATGAAAAAATGTAAGATCGAGAAGTCTTATAAGTCTTGTAAAAATTACGGCGCCTCAAAAAAAATCTTGATATGAAACTTTATGTTTATTGTATTTTTTTTTTTTTTTTTTTTTTTTTTTTTTTTTTTTTTTTTTTTTTGATAAAGATTTACGTTCGTGTTTGATTATCTTATCTGCTTAGCTTAGCTGCGTACATTCCGTAATTTTTTGTCACTTTATTACAGCAACTTTACACGTAGAGCAGTAAGAAAATACATTCTTCATGACCGCTAGTCAAATTAATTGTAAATTTTCGATTAACTTTCGTAAATCATATAGCAGTCCATTTTTATCCGAGCGCGTTTTATTAACTTAAAACCTGTCATACTTCAAATAAGCTCTTAGATGCACTTATTGCGCGTAATTATAGCTTCTTTCTTATTACTATCTATATTCTTACAAGAAAATAAGCGTAAGATGCGAGCTGCCAAAAAAAGGTCCATATACATCAAAGCTCTATCCTGACTGTTAATAATAATACAGAGATTATTTAAAAAATCGATGAATTAAATATTAGAAAAATATAACGGAGAAGAGAGCGGAAAGTGTTATTTCAATAGCGTTAAAAATAAGTTCTACTCTCTTGTAAAATTTCTTTGCGCACTTAACCCATTGCTAGACGGTGGAAAGTGAAATTTAATTAACAAGCTGCCGTATCATTGAATCTAGAGATACATATTTATACACGCATCCACCCACCCACGCACACGCACGCACATTCAACTACTATACGATAAAAGTGCAATATAATACGTAATATATACAATACATCTATTTAATATAATGCCATCAATCAAAATTAGCTAACATGTATATTTGCTTGATGGAAGTGGAGAATAAAATTTGTAACTCAATACATTTTCATCTCATTAAATGAGAAGGTAGTAGTAATTGTAAAAAGTGTTTGACAAATATATACACTATCAATGTTTTCTTCTTCTTTTTTTTTTATCATATCTAATCTTAGTTTAATTTTTTTTTTTTAACTTCTGCATATAAAACTTTCTTCCACTGTATAGGAATTACTTTATTACATTTTATTCCAAAAAATACCTTTTCATTTTCATCACAAATCATTATCATGCTTCTGTATTAATTCAAAAGCAATCCACTGTTTTCATATAAAAAAAATTATTGTTCAATTATTAAGTATTCTTAGTGGTTTTATAGTAAATTAATAGTTTTAAGTATAATGTAAACTTTTGTATTTAATAATTGAATGTAATTATAAATTTTTCAATGATTTCAATTAACCGAATGATAGATATGAAAAAATAAAAATTTGCAACATAATCTGTTATATTATGAAAATCATTTAAATCCAATTCTATACTGAATAATAATTTTAGACATTGGAGAAAAATCATTTTGTTATTGTCAAAAAAAAAAAAAAAAAAAAAAAAAAAAAAAAAAATAAAAAAATAAAATAGATATAGTGACAATACATATAACTAACTATAATAGTATAGCAGATTGTCAAAACTGTCGAATGTACGAAAATTATAATATAAATATTACATTGTACACTATATACGGAGTACACACCATAAATGATATATAATGTATACATAATATAAAATATATAAATAATGTTGTAGGACCAATTATGATTCTGAGAAATAAAGCAAATATTTTACTTTAAATATAGAAACTTATGGACGAACGACATATAGTAATAAGTTCTTTATAACAAAAAAGATAGGAGTATAATAACAGTTCGATATAATTTTTAGTTTGTACTACTATATAGATCAAGCGTAAAAACAGCATCAACTGTTAGCTTTTTTTTTAGGTTAATTTCATCTGATAAATTGCATCTTATAAATTTTACTAACGTAAATGGAATAACATAATATGATATATAAGTAAATAAAACAAAAAAAAGTCGATGCATTTCACATCAGACTATCAAACGATCAGATTCAGGTTTCATTCCACTTTGATAACAATTTTTTGTTTATAAATAGTTGCCTAAGTCTTAAAAATATTAACAAGAAATGATCTTATGCTATTATTATTGATATATTAGTCACTAATTTTATTCTCCGTTTTTTAATTTACATTTTTATTAATCCAAATGTTGCAATATTAACATATTTAACTGAATATTCCTGATCATTCTAATTTGAAATTTATATTTTACTTCATATTCGACTTATTTTTAAATTATAAATAAAAATTATAATATTTTAATGATAAATGCCTTAAATTGATATACGAATTAAAAATATTATTTTTAACATCATGCAATGCAATGCCAAGCCAATGCCAGGTAAGAACTTTTAAATTAATATAATTGATGAAATTCATTTCAATATGCCAATATATATATATATATATATATATATATATATATACACATATATATATATAACTAATTAACATATTTATAAAAGCTGTTATTTAAAAAAAAAGAAATTTACAAAAAAATAAAAAAAAGCAACTTCTTTGACTTTTCAAAAATAATATAATATTGGATTTCTTTTTTTAGTTAGCACATTACTATTCATATACTAACCTCTCCAAATAAATATACAGATAAATACATCCTCCTATAATAATGTATTTTTTCTTCATTCATATTACTCAAAGACTATTGTCAAAATATACAAGAAAACATTTCCATCGTCTTGAAATTCATAAACTGTACTTAACATATAGCAGCGAATAAATGGTGTATAATGCTTTCAAGCTATTATAAGCAAAACCAATCATTCCAGAAAGATTATTTAACGCATTTTTCTATGTTACATAGTCTGTCAGAAAAATTAATAAGTATTTATTAAAACATTAATTTAACTTAAATAATTAATCGAATACTAAAATTTAAATTTATATATACGCTCTTCTTCTGCATTTAGCTCATATTACATTTATAAATAGTTGTTTTTATTTGTTAAAATTATTAGAATTTAAATTTTTTATTGCTTGCTAATTAAACATTTCAATATGGCTTGTATGGATGAAAAAAAAATCTATTTTTGAAAATGATGATTTTAAGAATATTTAGAACGATCTGGTATATTAATTTGGTCCAACGAGAAAATGATTTTTTTTTTTTTTTTTTTTTTTTTTTAAAAAAAAAGACGCTCCCCGTTGTTTTCACAACCAAAAGAATTTTGGACGATTTTAAGTGATCATCATCAACGATATTAAATATTGCATTGTTTTTGTTTTTATACACGTGTGAAAAACACTGGTCCAAGATTAACTTTTTAACAGAAAAGTGTCGTTCATCCGGAGAAAATATTTGTTAAAATATCGATGGCACTCTGAGATATAACATTTTTTACTCAACAGCAATCCTTGATTTACTCAGAAATGAGCATTACAACAAATAAGTAGTATACAATTAAATAACCATCGATAACACGTTTTCTTCACGTTATTGTTTTCTTTTTTCTTTTTCATACAGTCTATCCGTATTCATTCAACATTTCTTAATGACTAGTTTTTATTTTCATTTGGCTCTTTAGGCCCTATTCGCGGCTTCACCATTGACTGCTGCTTTATACACAGAACTCCATTGAACGCGGAATATTAAGTCCAGCGCCTACGTATTTTCAGTACTGTACAATTAATTACAAACTCTCCTTCTGCGATAGGATTGACACGACTGCGAGAAGTATATCCTCGATCGTGCTATGGCTAACGTTTCATTGAAGCAACGTTTGCTAGGTCATCACTGTATCCGTAAGGTCATCCTTCAGCCATTGCGGTATTGCTCTTGAGCCCAAGCGTTTCAAAAGCTTCACTAATGCTGTATTGTGCGACAAGTAATACCTCTAAAAAATGAAACAAATACATTTTATGTAAAATCGGTTTTTACTACGAATAATTTATCTTTACAATAGCTGAATTCGTCGTATAATATATCAATTCTCATACAAAGTCAATATAAAACGAATTGTTTATATATATATTTATTTAATGATATTTACAATAATTTTATCCATTTACCTGTAAGAACTTATAAGACTTATCTTCCATTGGTGGATATTGGCGACCTTTACTCTTACCAAGACATTTCGTACGATCTTCATTCGTCACTTGACAAAAGAAACCCTTCTTTGGATCATACCTTAAATGTGTTGAATAATTGAACGTTGGATTTATCTTTAAAAACCTTTGTAGCTCGTGGAGAGTTTCAACGGGATTTTGACGTAATTGTTCACCATCGATAATGTGTAATTGCTGAGCTGGATAATAAGAAAGCCACCTCTCGAGATGCTGAGCGTATTTTCCAGGATTAAGACATCTGTAAGTGAGATCGCTAAATTAGTTGTTGTAATGAAATATCCGTATCTCAATATATTAATGACCTATGCCATTCAGATTTAAAAATATTTATTTAGTTTATTTACAGTTGGCATTCAATACTTTTTTAATAAACGGTACATAATAATAAATATTAAACAATCAATTTTTTGTCTTATAGAAGGACTGTTGAAAACGTTACAATCGAATTCTACCCAACCACAATATTATATAATATATAAATATTATAAATGAATATTTATAATATTAACACTATCTATTATCTTAAAAAAAAAAAGTATTTTAATTTCGAATAATGAAAAGGCATTATTAGCCTTTTGATTATCTACATGATAAATTTAAAAGAAACAAATTTTGTCAAATAAATATATACTTTAACGAGACTTAATCAATAAATTTTATAAATGCATAAATAGTACATTCCCGAGCTTATTAATAAAATTAATCGTAACTATTTTCTTTTTTATCCGAAAATATTAACTAAAAATTTTATCTAAAAAAAAATCATTTTCATGCAGAAACGCGTTTATTAAATGAAAAATTTGAAACAATATTATTTAATACGTATGAATTATTTTAAAAATTACAATCTCTCAAAATATTTACCATTAACAATTCCATTATATTATCAGGATCTAAAGTCAAGATTCAAATTTCGTAATAAAAAATGCCGAAGCAGCATAGTAGCGATTAAACTTAAGATATCTTTTCGACTTTTATGTTCTTATCATGCGGTATCGAACTGTGTCATTAAGGTAATCGTAAGAATAATAGACATTGCTCCCCTAAGTTAGAAAAAATGATGATACGGAGGACGATACTTAACGTACATATTGACGAGATAGAGTCTTTATTACTTTTAGTTATAAAAGGAAAATATATCAGAATCTCAATTTTGTCTTTAATACTTACGATATTGTCCTTTATATGCAAAACGTAAATAAAACGAGGCAAATGAGATTAATACCTTGGGCACATACATTCCTGATTAATATTAGACGATTGATCATTTAATATGATCAACATACATACATATATATATATATATATATATATATATATATATATGTAGATAAACCGAATACATAAATGTGAGTTTCAAGAGTAAAAGTATACCAATATTATTGAGCTGCGAAACCATCGAATAGATGCAAAAAGATAAAGAATCTGAATTTGTATTTTTATAGGAATCCTTTAGAAATTTGATTTCTTTGCATCAGATTTGACAAAAAAAAAAAAAAAAAAAAAAACCCCCATTATGAATAATTTTCGAAGAAACTTGGGCAAGATGCAATAACACTCAATTTCTAATATAATCAACAAACATTCATTATTCTTCTAGTAAAAAATGAAATTTATAATTTTCATAATTTATTCTCAATTGTCGACTTTAATTATTGAACTTTCATTGATTACGCAAAAATATTTATATCAAGCACATTTACTCATTTGAAATTAAAAAAAAAAAAAAAGTAAAACAAATAAATTAGAGATGAGTTTACTTCGTCTGCTTTTCAAATGTATTGTCGATCTCCACCTACGAAATACACATTAACTCGGGTCAGACGCGACACCTTTTACATGCGTCGCCATCCTTTGAAGTCTACACTTGTCAAAGCCAACCCCAAACAAAGAAGGGTGAGTTAGTTAAAGGGTGTGCTAAAGCTCCACATTAGGGAATAAAACAGGGTGGATGAAATTTCTCGAGACATATACACAGTCAACCTTCGTTAAAGCCTGTCCTTTCGTCCTGACAGCACTTTCTTCAATACTCTCTCTCTCTCTCTCTCTCCACTCCCCTGAGCAGTCACTCTACTTCGATGTTGTTATCGCTCGAATTAAACGGAACATGAAAGGAAAGGACACGTGTTGACCTGCTAATGAAACCGAAATAGGGATATCTTTTATATCTATAAGCCTTTTTGAACTGAATCTTTTCTGATCGAAGAACAAGTTATCTAGTTAATTGAACCATTTTAGTGCGAAGAAGCAGGTTTTTGGTAAATTCTCTTTACTTTGAACGCAACCCATTCTAGTCGATAAACAAGCTTATTTAATAATTCGATTTTCTACGGCTGAAAGGATAGGCCAACGAATTCATTCACGATTATATGTAATTAACAATTTTCTGATAATAGGCCCTATAAAGGTAAAATGTAATCAAAATCTCTTTATAACTAGAATTGTATTTTTTGTATAAATTTAATGCTTGTATTTATCAATATAGGCTTCTATTATATTTATAAACAAAAAAAATTATCCAACCGCTCGTTAACTATATTAAAAATTAATTTGAATATCAATATAGATATTACATTACTAGAATATTATGTTATTTTTATCGAAATAACTATTACCAGTTGCTCGATTAATATCATAGCCTTTAGATTAGACTTTTCGTAATATTAAGTGCAGCCTCAGTAACGTTAAGTGCATAAGTTACATAACTAAAATTAAGTTATACACGTATATATAGTATAAGGGTAGATCGATGATCTATTATAAATTTCATATCGTTACCTATTTCTGAGATCCCTTAATGCTTTTGGCGCGGTGTCGGTGGCCGTTATCACGGAGTGGAAAGAATAATTCTTGGCCGTAATGTCACCATGTACCTTGGTGTGCTGATACCAAGAATAGGCCCTCCTGGCGGGCGAAAGGAGTATCGTGATGAGCTTGGCTTTTGGAAGGAGCGCATGAGCTCGTCGAGGAACAAGTTCACCGTCGAAGTACGTCGCTGACTTTTCGAAGAGGTAGCGAGAGCTTTCGTTCTTAGTTGCAGGGAAAAAGCTCATATACCTACAACAGTACGTTATTTTAATTTTAAAATTCCCAAAGAAGAAGGAAAATTTTTCTATACATTATTTAATGCTTATTATTCACGTTATTAGAGAGAAAAATTAATGGAATATTTGAATAATACAATGACGAATTATAAATGATATTTTTTTTTTTTTTTTTTTTTTTTTTTTTTTTTTTTGACGAAAGATCAATTTAAGTGATACGCGATCAATAGATATAAACAATCACTTTGAACAAAATAGTCAATAAGTGACAATAAGTTTTTTTAATATGTAATGTAATCAAACATATTACCAATCTAAGCCCCTGTAATAATTTTTTCCATTAAAAAATTGAATCTCTTCAAATGTATCGGGACTAGGTAAGTTACTACTGATGGCGGGATGAAGAGATAAAAATGTATATAATGCCGTTGTTCCAGTCTTCTGAGGTCCAATCACCAAAAATCTTGGCAATTGATCACAAGTTTTGTTTTTCGACCAAATTCTTTGATGCCTTTGATCGTCACAGGGATTCTGTTGGGGTTAGCATAAAATAATATCTATTTCATTTTATCGTTAAAGAATATAATCAAAACAAATCAGTTTGGCACGTGACGATAATGTATGTTTCTCATAAAATTTAATGAAATATCCTTCAAGCCTTAATAATAATAATCGAATGAAATACTTTGATTTATTTAATACACAACTATTTATCATGAATTTCATTTATTATAGATGAAACAAAATTTTTTTATCATTATTCAATAAACATTGTAAATTGAAGTGGCGAGCATTGTAAGTATTATTATCGTGTTTTATTATAAATGAAAAATCTATTTATTATTACGACTTTGATTATACTTTTATAAATGTATTTTGTAATTTAAAGCTCGTAGAAATGTAGTAGTTGCATATACACATGACATTGAAAGGTGTATGATTTTATATCTACCGAGCAATGAGCGAATGGTAGGGCTATATATATAAGGCGTATAAAAGATAAATTTAATTATCATTTTAATGATATTCAGAAATGTAGGCGCCTAGTGAATTACCTAGTGAATTATTAGAAATAGTTATCGATTTAACATTTTAAACAAATAAATAGCAATTTGTTTGCGAGATTAATTTTTAGTACTGGAATTACGTGTCATAATCTGTGAAATAATTAAAACGTTAAAATAAAAATTACTATTTCACTTATATAATGATGAATTTACTTTACTTAGGCAAATATGTGAAAAATAATAAAAGTATCGTTAAAGTTACAACTGAGGAAATGCATTACTGCATTTATGACAAAAGCCCAATTATCACTTTACCTGCAAAAGCGACAATAATTCTCAGCACCACGTAAATATTTTACTAAAATTTTCAAATTTTAATGCTAAAAGAATATAGAATACCAGATAACGGTTAGGGAAAATAATAAAACGAGATATACGATGCATGCAAGCTCGCAAATAAATCATAGCTGTAATGAATGATAATTTTTCTTGGATAAAATAAACGCGCACATTTTTGCCATTTCTATAATGGCATGCATTATGCTGTGGTATAACACAGCCGAAAGTGAATTATTAAAAAAAAATTCAATATATTGGAAAGCGGATTTCACATAATCGTTTGGAAATTATTGAAAATTCCCTCGAGACATTAACAAATAATAGCAGAAATGAAATAAAAATTAAATACAGGCTTAATGTATTTAATCCACGGTGGTGCAATAATACCACAAATATATGCATAATCCATGAAAATTTTATCCATACGATTATTAGTCAAACAACTTTTAAATTAATGAAATGGCAATACTTGACTTTGTACGCTTCGCATTGCTCGTGCGTTGGAGCGAAGAAAGAAATAAAGAATAAAAAAAACAAAAAAAAAAACTAAAAAAACAAAAAACAAAAATAATAGCGCCACAAGTTTGCTGATTATTTCTTTACGTACACCCCAGACTGGATCCGTCTCTTCCGGATAGAGCTGAAAGTATCTCTCGCCCAGCTGAAGGGGCGGGGCACTCGACAGGCGTAAATTCGTCCAGCATTGAATGAACTTGATGACGGATTCGAAGGTGTACAGTGCCAGCCGATCGTTCCCATAATTCGACATGTGTGTCATGAAAATGTTTATCTGAAAGGCATCGGGAGCTTTAGCATTTAAAATTTTACGCTAATGTTTATACGGAATACTGTTTATACAAAATACGCATTAAGCGGCAATCGCGTTGACCTAATTCTTCTTCTTTTTTTCTTCTTTTTTTTTTTTATGTTTTGTTTTTGTTATTGTTTGTTACACACCCCATTGTTCATGCTATGACGTAAATCGTTGAAAACAAATAAAGCATTTCAAGAATGAAATCGATATTTATGAAGGAGATGTTGGCCGTGTGTGTTTATAAGGTGAAAAAAGGTTTGTTTTTTTTTGTTTTTTTTTTTTGTTTTTTTTTTTGTTTTGGTTTTGTTTGTTTGTTTTAATTTTGAAGGCCTGACACGTTGTTTGGATTGTGAATGGAAATGATATTACGTCGTCAAATGGTTCTCAAATATTTTGCAAATCGTTAATCATTGGTGGATTTTATGAGGATCGTCGTTAAATTTGAATTACGTAATAAAAGTTTGATAATGGACATTGAGTACATAATCATTTAATGTCAGATATTTTAATCTACGTTTACGATTAAACGAATTGTTGGTAATACGAGTTACTATCGATTGTGAAAATACCAGAACGATAAATATTGTTAAAGAACTTTTAATGCAAGGAGTGCAGGTCAACTGATAATAAAATCACTGAAATTGCTGAAAATGAAAGTGGCCCGGAAATGCGAAATGATTTTCTAGAAACGTGTCAATAAGGTATATTCTCGTCACTTCGTTTCTCGCCATTTATTCGTCATTTATACTATTAATTTCTTCGTAATTAATTTCTTCTTCTATCCAAAAAAAAAAAAAAAAAATTAGAGTATAAAGCCGAGAATCAGCTTCGATAATTCGTAGATATAAAAATCTTGATTAAAGGACCTTGATTAAAGATGAAATGTGTCGGACATTATTATATTATTTTGTTTGTTTGTCGTTGTGCGTGAGTGTGGGTGCGCGTGCTATATTATCAACTCGTTACTCCCGTTCAACTACCTCGCATTCAAGCGCATACCACTTTTTCGTTTTATACGTGACGGGTTATCGGCTTTATTAAAATTACATGGAATAACATTGACGAAGTTATTATTTCGAAATCCAGGCCTGCTTGATGAGAAATAAATAGAGTTATTGGCATGGCTTACCGGATTGTAAACGATAGTCTGGAATAGTTCGCCGCCCTGGATCGACTCGTCCAGCTTATCTCGGCCGCCAGGATATCTTTCGATAAATATTGTGTGCGTAAATAGACCGCATGTCTGCCTTGGCAGTACCTAAAATAAACCAGTGCATTAGTTAGGGCTTTCGTTAATGCGCAATATGCATTATGGATTTGATAGTACGCAAGAGCTGGAGTAATGAATAACAATTGCGCATTTCAATAGCCAGTTGGGTAGTTGGCGTGAATCAGATTTGCCATTTTACAAATATCCTACACTCATGAATAATGAGCGTGCATTTATATACATTTATTTTCTTGTTATTCGGCAAATATCGCATTTTACGCAATTATAAATTAAACGACAAGCGTCGTTCGCCGCCCGATCAATTATTTAGAAATAGTAAACAATAATTTTTCTCATTGACTTTAATAGGCTACTCTTGCTCTACACGCCCTTAACGTAATTATAATGTTGAATTTAACCAGATGTGCGATAAAACGAATAACTACAGAGTAATCACAGCAATGTAATAGAATGGTGATAATCGTCTACTATTATTACAACTCTTTAAGGAATATCCTATAAATTCAAATTAAATAACACGTCGTTTCTGCCAATATGGTATTTTTCTCTTATAAACGATAATTAAATTTCACTCAACCAGCTGGCTATATTATAATCTTCATTGAAACAATATTTGCACGTATGCTTGTAGATGATAAGAAAATGATAAGTTTATGTCATAACTTAGCGAATGAAATGAAATACATTGTCAGGGGCGCAATAATTTACTATCCAACTCTGGATTTGAGTGAATTTTCCAACTTACTTACAATATGTATTGTAATTATTTTCCGCTTACAAAGACCCTTTAATCCCTTGAAAATCACCATATAATTATGATAGAAGGCATTAGACGCGTTAAATTTATATTTAACTACGGATGTTTTTACAGTGAGAAGGTAGTTAAATGATAAAGCCGTGATGATTAAAGTTAGTGATTTAAAATTTTCAAAGTTTTCCTCCAAGTATCTTCATACGAGGAGATAATGAATGTTGCATCGGTAGGATGGTAAAGGACGGCAAAGCTATACTAGATGTGTAAAAGAAACTAGCCCGCACAGCACTCGAAAATAGGCGTGAGCTGGCTAGATTTAAAATAATAAATAATCCCGGCGATCGTAAATCGCCAGAAAGCATAAAATATATCCTGATCGCTCACCATGATGCCACGATGTGCGAATCCGCGCCTGAGCCTCGCCGGCCTCAGGTGCGGGTACTCCTCGGTGCTCGTGACCTTAATGTTCCAGATTTTCTTCCAGGCCTCGTAGAGGCCCTCGTGCACGGGATAGACCCCGGAGTGATGGGGACTGACGCTGTAGCCGCTCCCCGTCGGTATCCCGTGTTCCTTTGCGAATTGCTTGTTTAAGGCCATGTCGAGCTGCAGATGGGTTACGTTCTCGTAGAGGTGGGGTTGCTGATGATTCCACATGTGAGAAAACCACGTAAATCTGCCGATAATCAGGGAGAGTCAATATGCATGATTTGCGAATGTTTCGTTGTGGATTTTTGGGATTAGCGCGCGATGCATTCACATAATTCTCATGACTTTATTAGCTTGATTTTGATATGAAATGCCGTTGGCGCTTTCATTTGCGATGGCTCTCTTCAAAGAATCGTGTACTTACTAATCATGTTTGATATTAATTTATCTCTAATTTATAGCTATTTTTACGTAACGTTTATAATAATGTAATAATAATGATTACACGCTTATACTAGTAATTAATACTTGGACGACGTAACTACTTTAAAGCTTTTGTGTCGATATTTCAAATTATTCTATTGGCTTCTTTAAAAGCTTGTAGTTAAAACCATGAAATGTTTATTTAAAGTTTTACAAGTAATTGCACTAATCATTAACTATCGATGTGATCGTGTAATATGCATTTAGTGCATACTGTACACAAAAATACAATTGGTAACTATTATTAGTCATACTCTCGTTTAATTTCTTTAGTGAATTCGAATATTCAGATAAAATGGGAAGCGAGTAATGTCACAACGAAAACAAGAATATCTATCGGTAGAATTGATAGATATTAACCGATAGATATTCCATCGATAATTCTTCGATAAAAGTAGCAATTTTAAAATAAAATAAATTAAATATGAGTTAGTCGTGAAATAACCTAAAATATCATGTTCAATTTAAAGTATAATAGAAGAAGTCTACTGTATTTTTTAAAATTATGTATCATTTCATTAACTATTATAAATCAGCTAGAAATACAAATTCTTAGGGTACGTGTATTATTCATAAAAGTAACCAACTATTCGCACAATGTTTTATTTGATTTCATTAGAGTTTAAAGAAATTCTGACACTCAATCACCCACCGCGTGCTCGTTTTCACCCCTTCCCCCTCGCACACTAGACCTTAATACTTCAATACACATTTATTCCAGCCTATTCATTCTCAGGTCCTTGTCATATACAACTTACATGCGCTCTTTTACACATTCACGCACATCTGAGTACGAAAGCAAATAAATACACACGCAAAAGCTAAAATATAATGTATTTTAGTATTTCAAGGTGAAAGTAAAATTTGTGAAGGATCGTAAGTTTATTTTACATAAATCAAATTTATTGCGGTTCGAAGAATCCGTTCGAAGACACATCTGTGATGAAGTTAAAGCTATGGGAGTGCAAATTCAAATGGTTTACCTGTCGACGTTCTCCAGTATCATATCGTCTCCCAGATTCTCCTCGGTCGTCCCATGATGGAAGTACTTGCCGGAAAACCCCAAGTTGAATTTGAAACCTGGCACGAGAGCCTGTATCCTTTGCTGCGTAGCTAGAAGCGCGAGCACGTCGTCCTTCTTCAATCTCGTTCCTTTCTCCCCCACGAATATGTCGTCAACGTCAACGAGGATCATGCGGCTGAGGCTCAGACTCAGCTGTCCGTGCGACAGATACGACAGGGAGTCCAGCAGAAGGAGCTTGTGCAGCCAGAACTTGAGGCCACCGCCGAACAGAACCCGCTGGATACCATCGTATCGGCCGTGATCCTGTGTTATTAAATCAAGGACTTAACGTGCACTTAACGAAATTTTTTCGTCTCGAAGATTTTTTTTTTTTTTTTTTTTTACACGTAATCGCAATTAATTCATATTTCATAAGTAAGTTCACGAGTTGGATTTACGCTCAAGCGAAATATTTATTATGGAGAATTTAGCAAAATCTATCTCTTTAACATCTACTACTCGTTACTGTCGATTGTTGCCACCAGTCAAGCCTATCGCGCATTTCATAATTATCGAGTAGGATAATAATAATTTATTATTCTATTGGTTGCGCTATTCATACTCACCAAATAACCCTCTCCCCCTAATTAAATTTGTATGAATATATATATATATATATATATATATATATATATTACTTTATTATTCATATCTGAAATATCAATTGTTGCTGTTTAATTTATATTTAAGTTAAATAAAGCTTTATGAACGATTATATGATTTAGGAAGATTATACAAAGGCCAAACGTGTATTCTGACAAAATATCAAGAAGGTAATTAGCAGTTAAAAATTCAGGAAGATATTTCAAAATAAGGTAATAAAGATTTATTACAATAAGATATATTAGAAAAAAAGGAGATAATAAAGAAATTACATAATTACAATAAAAGGCAGTTGCACATTTTCCAAAACAGTTATTCAAATTATTATTTTGACTCGTTTATGAGAAATAAAATAATAATATATACTATACATTATTTTAATATTGATATACATTAGTTAAAGCAATTGAAAGTTAAAGACTTTGCGTAAATCAAGACAACGATAGAAAAGTTATAGTTAACGAAAGGTTCATGACTGTCGTCGTGTTAACATGAATATTAAAAAAATTCATGATAAATCGAATATTATAGTTTCGGCTCTAAATAGAAAAAATATATATTTTTGGTGTTGTGATATCGATAAAGCAATAAATTTATTAGTTACTAGTAACAATAAATAGTTGAATATTAAAATAAAAATTTTATCCTTACCGCCAAACGAAAATCTTTTAAATTTAATTTTAACGCTACTCTTTTCATTTTACCCTTCTCTCTCTCTCTCTCTCTCTCTCTCTCTCTCTCTCTCTCTCTTTCTCTCTCTCTTTCTCTTTCATCGCAGCTAGTTTATTTGCAATAGAATAGTAACAATAAATGAATGAAAAAGGTAAATACATATTCAGTGGGCTTTGTCAATATTTAATCGATATGTAGTATTAACTACTCAAACAAATAATATGCTCTGATTTTCTATATTTAGAGATAATGCTATAGGGTATTTTGCTATAGGAACTCGATTTTGGTGCACCACAACGATGACAATAACGATAAGAGTATATAGTTCTACCTGAATTCGTTAAGGGAGAATATAGTAGAACTTATATGTCTAAGGGAAGGATTTGCGTGCAGATAGGCCAAGTTATTGTCTCGTTAGGATGAGAAAGACAATGAACAAGGGATGGTAAAGTGATTCAGAGATAGGGGCTGTTTAATTTTGGTAATTTTCTGTTTGTGAACGTCATGTAGAAGGATGAGTGACTTAAAAAGGGGCTCAAAATATTTTACTAAATTACAAACGATAATGGAATGGTTTAATTATCAAATGAATTTATTGAACACTCGGATTCGTCAAAAATTCCATCAAATAATACTTTGTTTATAGACTCGAATTTAACAAAAAATTGATAAGTTTAAATTGAAAATTATAAAAATTAAAATTTCATTTACTTACACATGATGATAATTGGTATATTCGTACTTTATACGTTAAATATTAACAAAACGAAACAAAAAATAACGTTAAATAATTGTCTAAGCGGCAATTCATTATAAATTAACATTAAAAATTATAAAAACAATAGTTATTAATTTATCCTTAATTGCATTCTGTGTGATGTAGGTATTGTAAAGGCGATAAGATTATGAAATAAAGTCTTATACAATTTACATATAAATTACATAATTCCAAATTGAAATTCAATAAATATTATTAAATTTATTTTTATTCACGTTTATTCTTAAACAATCATTTACTATTCTCAAGAGGATTAGTCACATATTGTACGCATAATAATTTATTTCTTGTCAAGCCATTATAATACACATTTAAAAGGGTAAAAAGTCTTTAATGACGTAATGATCTCTCAAATGATTATTGAACTTGCAATGAATTTCTTGAAATTTTTTACATTGGGAATACAGAATTGAAATAAAGATACCAGACATATTAATTATATATGACTCGTAGCTAGAATAATTTTATATTTATTTCACTACTTTATTCACAGTACTTTGTAAAAAAAGACAGAAAATTGGACAAATTTATTCGCTGATACCGTATTGATAATGCTTACTCTTTTTTTTTTTTTTATTTTTTGGGTAATCAAAATGAAGGACAATTTTCATTCTCGATTTTTTAATGAGTAAGGAAAAAGGATGGTATCCCGTATTTATTACAGTAGCTTGGATGACAAAATAAGTGATAAAATACGAGGAAAATTTGATAAAAATATTATCAAGTACTTTCAGTCTTACAATTTATTTTTAATGATATCCGTCTTGTCATTTCCAATGTATTTGCTACTCGTTTCTTCTTTTTTCTTTTGCATTTCTCTTAATTATTTAAGAAATGAGCGAATTCTTTAAAATTAAACTAGTATTTTCTGCATTTTTATTTACTAGATTCATAATTCCAACAATATCTTGGGTAAATAACCGTACTATTTTGTATACTTCATAAACCTCGAGTGCACAATATTCTTCGAACAATCTCCAGTTTCGAGTTAATCCCTTATAAAATGTATATTCGGTAAGCCGCATGTGTTAAATTTCACACTTGCGAGTCATTCGCATTGAAAAGTCCTAGACTTATTATAATGCAAAGCTTTCCTTGAAATCTCGGATTTAACAATAAGCCCTGCCAACTATTGGTAGAAGGATTGATTTTTTATTTAACCCCACCAAGACAATGGCTATAACTTTTTTTTACTCTAAGTTGTATGTTTATCATTGCCGTGGAAATTGAACAAATGTCACAGCGAGAGAGAGAGAGAGAGAGAGATAGAGAGAGAGAGAGAGAGAGAAAGAGAAAGAGCTGCAATATAATCAAACCCTATATAATGGACTTATCCATAAAACTATTGTTATCCTTTATTTCTAATAAGCTCGTACAAGAAGGATTAAAAGTTTTATATGTGTTTTTTATATTTTATATTTTTTTTACTGTTTTTATATATATTAAGGACGAAGTAATGCAAGTGCTATTTTATCTCGAGTCTGTTCATTTTTGAAGTCAATGTAATGCTAATTATTGAAATATTACATTAGTGAAAATTTTTCTATCTGCTTTCCAAAAACTTATAATTTACAATATTATGTATATTCCCGATTAACTAAATATTTAGAAAGTTATTTAATACATCAAATTAATTTAAAGTATAGTATTATACCTTTCATATTCATTAGTTTTTTTTTTCTCTTTAGAATAAATTAATATTCATGATTTATTTTCAATAAAGATTATTTTAATTTTTTTTCTCCCTATAAATATATTTATAGAACTTTTGTTTTCAAAAGTTCAGTTAGTCGATTCAGATAATGTATTATATAATAGAATGCTGATCCATTTATATGAAAAATTGTATTATAATTTATGTAATATAATTTAAAAAATTTAATTTTTAATCGTACATTAATGAAAAACTGGAGTAATAATTATTTATGTAATTGTATTAAGAATACAATTTGTGTAGAAAAAATAATATAATATATTATTCTAAGATATTTATGTATTTAGGTGCGTTACTTAATGCGTACTTAGTCTGCTTTACTATAAAGTAATTATATAATCGATTGACGTGTATAAAATTATTTTATTAATACTCGCTTCTTATTTATTCATATAAGACGTATTAGAAAAATTATTCATTAAAGCTATTTTTAATTATCGAATATTTTAATAATTTTAAATATATCATATTCATATCATTATTCTTTTTAAATTGCATCATAATTATTAAAAATTTGTTGATAAATATTATATTATTCAAGTCTTTTCACGTACTGCATGATTAAGAGAGCAATTTCTAGTTAGATATATTGTAAAAAAATACATAATTTCTGCAATGTATTCGATTATATTACAACTACAAAATTTACGATTTTTATGGAAATAAATGAACTTTTCTTTCGTGTTTTTATGTGTAATAAATATTTCAAAATAGTAATTACATATAATTAATGATGAAAATTGAAATGAAATGAAAAAAAGTTATACACTGAAAGAGTAAAAATGAAGACTACGAAGCTTACATAATTGTTTAAAAAATGAAATCTTTCATCTCACTTGTTTTTAATTATTTTATATTGAACGCGTAGCTTATTTTATTCATTAGGTATCAAATTTAATATGAATTATAGCTTTCTATATTTCTATTCTTCTTAACTATTCATATAGTTAGAATTTTTTAATTTATTTTACTTAAAATAACAGATATCAAGAGATTATATAATAAAAAGCGGAAATTGTAAAATTTTATAAAATGCCGTAATAATTGTTCGTATGTATAGTTTTATTAGATTTTACTTTTTTTCGTTTATGTAATATAGTATTTGAAACAAGCTAAATTCAAATATAAATGTTATGAATTATGACATTTTGTAAAAAATCGACGTGACAGTATTGACAATTATCTTTTTATAATGTATGTTATTATTTAAATTTTATGAAATTAAAATATATATGTTTTAACGAAAATTTAATATAATATTCAGAGTTACGAATATAAATCACATGAAGTTTTTAATACTTTCTGCTTCATTATAAAGTAAAAGATTTCAAGATTTCTGTGTATACTAGAAAATGGAAGATTTGTAAAGAAATTTTCAAAAAAGACTTGAAAATTATATCACATTAAAAAAAAAAAAGTATACGATCTTTTATGACCATTTTTAATTCTAAGTAATATATTTATTAAATGAATATTAAAATGAAAACTTTCTTTTTT